CCGCCGGCGTCCTCGACGACCTCTCGATCGCCCGGCTCGGGCCGGGGGTATCTGTAGGGGGGCACAGGCGAACCCTGCCCCTACCCTCCATGGCTTCTGAGGGGGAGGGTGGGGTTCACTTCGACCGGGAGCTCCCGGGCGAAGGGAACCCCACGCGCTCCCCGTCAGAAACCGTGGGGGGTACGGGTACCTTGATGAACGCGAAGACTATAGAAAGCTATATCGTCCTATAGGTTTCTATAGGATTACATCAACATATAGCATGGCATCGTGGAAAAAATGAAAATAATGAAAAACTGAAAAATACAAAAATCAAAAACAAAAAAATGCTGAAACATACGGAAAATAGTGAAAATAATGAAAATATGGAAAAAATATTGAAGATATTGAAACATAGTGAAGCCGTTCGCAAAATTTCGAAGCAAAGCGGTTGGCCCGCTCCTCCTCCCCCCCTTCTCCCACGAGAACCCAACAGATCTCCCAGCAGGAGGAGGAGGAGCAGGAGGAGGAGGAGCAGGAGGGGGGGGAGGAGGAGGAGGAGGAGAAGCCCAGCAGGAGGGGGAGCAGGAGGAGGAGGAGGAGCAGGAGGAGGAGGCAAAACAAAAACTGTTAAAACAATGTTCTTGTATACATATATATGTATATATGTGTGTATGTATGTATGTATGTATGTATGTATGTATGTATGTATGTATGTGTGTGTATGTATGTATGTATGTATGTATGTATGTATGTATGTATGTATATATACATACATACACACATAATATATATTATATATACATATATACATACATACTCAACATCAATGGCAACAATACACAACTGCAGCTAAACATACACGATAAAACACTGTATATATAGTCAAAAACACTTTTCTTTTGTTGTTGAAAAAATAAACGGGCGGTTGAACAAAGGGGGGCGAACGAGAGAGAGAGAGAGAGGAGAGAGAGAGAGAGAGAGACAGAGAGACAGAGAGAGAGAGGGAAAGACCCCAGGCAAACGCCAGAGGAGCCCAGGACAACTCCAGACAACATCAGACAACACCAGACAAAAACAACAACAAAAAAACAACAAACAACAACACAACCCCACACACTACAACAACACACAACACAAGAACAACAACATACAACATGTTGCTGATTGTTGTTTGTTGTTGTGTTGGTGTTGTTGTTGCGCGGGCGCGCCCCGACAACACAAGACAACAAACAACAACAAACAACAAACAAAAACAACAAAACACAACAAACACAACAACACCAAACAACACCCAGACAACACCCAGACAACACCCAATGGGGTAGACACGGAGGAAGCACGCGGAGAGACGCGGGGGGGGCGCGGCAGGGACACGGGAGGAGTGGGGGCACGGGAGGGGCGGGAGGGACAAGGGAGGGACAGGAAGGGACACGGGAGGGACACGGGAGGAGTGACATAAAGGACACGGCACGGACACGGCAGGGACACGGGAGGGACACGGGAGGGACACGGGAGGAGTGGCATAAAGGACACGGCACGGACACGGGAGGGACACGGGAAGGACACGGGAAGGACACGGGCGGGACACGGGAGAGACACGGGAGGGACACTGGAGGGACACGGGAGAGACACGGGAAGGACACGGGAGGGACACGGGAGGGACACGGGAGGGACACAGGAGGGACACGGGAGAGACACGGGAGGGACACGGTAGGAACGCAGCGTTTTTTCAAGCGAGGATGTCGAGCGCACGGCTCGACGGAAGAGATCGTCGGGCGCACGGCTCGAGTCGAGCGAACCGCCGCCTCTCGCAAAAAGTATTGAAAAATAGTGAAACAAAAAATATAAAAATAGTGAACACATAATAAAAAATAGTGAAAAAGAGCGACAAATTGTTGAAAAAAGTGGAAAGTACTGAAAAATAGTGACCAATAGTGAAAAATAGTGAAGATTATTTTTTTGAAAAAATGAAGAATAATGGAAAATGCAAAAACTAATACACAGCTTTAGGCTTCGCAACTATCGCTGATGATAGGAGCCTATAGCCCCTATAGGACGAAATAGTGGACCTAATCGTCACTCAAGTTAAAGGCCACCCTAACCAATCCTAAATAGCATCCTAACCTATCCTAAATCCTCCTAATGAATTCTAACATAGCATCACTATAACCATTTATAAATACTTACTGCTTCGCGTTCATCAAAGTAGGGCTCGCAACTGGTCCCCTGATCTGCCGACCGGGGTCGCTGCAAACCGGGGTGCGGCAGGCTTGCTGCAGGCTCCGGCAAGACCCCTGCAGGGTCCTGCGCCCCGGCCGGGGTCGGTGCGCCCCTGCCCCTACCCCTACGATTTCTGAAGGGGAGGGTAGGGTTCACTTCGCTCGGGAGCCCCCGAACGAAGTGAACCCAACCCTCCCCTCAGAAATCGAGGTGGGTAGGGGTAGGGTTCACATGTGGTCCCCTACTGGCACTTCGACTGGCCCCCGTTGGCATGGAGCTCGTCTCTCGAGTCCCAACTCCAGTCGACGATGCAAAACGGGTCCCGCGAGATGGCGCAGCGAACCTACGCGGCGGCTCACGCGGGCCACCGGCGCGGAAAGACACCATGGAGACGCGGGCGCGTCCGCGAGACCCTACGCGAGCATTCTGATGTTGCAACCTACTTTAGCCTTGACCACCAGAGAGAGTTTCGAGCACCAGGAGAACACCGATACTGGAAGGTTTTCGCGCGTCGGGCCCTGGGAGGCGACACTCGTTCGACACCGCTTCGATACTTGTCTGGGTGCTCGAAGTCATGTTTGAGGTCTGGTCCTGAAGAACGGTGGGAGCAACATAACGAGAGCAGCTTACGCGCAAGCAACGTAACGCGAGCAGACTACGCGCGAATGCGGCGCACTCGAACCCGTTGTTGAGCAGGGAGCGACCGTCCTGGCATTCCTATAGGCCTACCACATAATGTTCTCATAATTAACCCAACAAAAACAAAAACAAAGTTCTCAGAACAAAAATCCAGACGTGTTAAAGCAAGACAACTCCAGCCAGAAATGTTCTGAGAACAGTTCGTTCAAACCACAAAAGGTTCGCAGAACATTCTTTGGTGGGCTTATAGTCGGGTGATTCTAGCTTTTGGCTCAATTGTGGAGCCCCTGGGGCCCTCTGGGCCTCGTGAGGGGTGCTCTGGAGGCTGCCTGGGCCACCCCGAGAATCCTGGGGTTACCTTGGGCCAGGGGCACTTCTAGCAACACCCGATGTGGGCGAGCCAGGACGCTTCGCCACTGCCCGAGTCTTGTTGCGTCGCTCCAGTGGCGAAACGTCGGCCCTGCACCGGCGACGCCTCGCCAAGGGGTCGGCGGCGGCCCCCCCCCCCCCGAATTTGGCGGAACCGCACGCTCCTGGCCCGGGGGGGGGGGGGCCACAGGCCCCCGGTCGGCGATCCGTGGGCCATCGGGGGTCGAGTCAAGTCGGGCACGTCCCTCTACAAGAGGAAGGCTCCCAAAGAGTCAACAAAGATACTCCGGGGACGATGCTTGGACTTTTTTTTGTGTTTGACCAACTTGGAGCACTTCTTGGCATTTGTTGTTTTTCGTCCAACATCCCCGTGTAGGAGGACATGCCCGACCTAAGGGTCGATGCCACCCCCCACCCTGATTCCGGGACGCACGAAGACACACTAGTATCAGATTGCTCCCTTCAGGACCAAGTCTCACAAATACTTTCGAGCACCCAAAAAGGCATGGAAGCAATGTCGAACGGGTATCGCCTCCCAGGGCCCGACGCGTGCAAACCTTCCAGTCTCGGTGCTCTCTTGGTGCTCGCAATCGCCTCTGGCGGTCAAGGCCAAAGCAGGTTGGAACACCATGATACTAGTACCAGTTGTCCTCGCCGGAGGCGTGCGTCTGACCCCCGCCTCTTGAACCCCGACCCCGAAGGTTCCAGAGGGAGCTTTGGGGGAGGGGGTTCTCCAGAGAGCCCCCCAGGGGCCTCGGAACCCCGTCCAAACAGGGGGTGCGAAGCCCCTGGGGGACCCCTCCTTTGAGCAAGGACCGACCGTCCAGGCATTCCTATAAGCCTACCACGAAATGTTCTTAGAACCCAAACATGTGCCAGTAACAAAAGCGATGTTCTTAGAACATCAACGCGATGCACTAAAACAAGACAATCCTGGCCAGAAATGTTCTGCGGACATCCCGTAGGAACCACATGAGGTTCTTGGAACATTGTTTGGTAGGCCTATTGGCAAGCCAGGACGCTTCGCCTCTGCTCGACTCCTGGAAAGCCCCCTCCCCCAAGAGCGCCCTTGGGAACCCTCTGGCTGGCCATCGCTCGGACGTCCATTCTCTGTTTTTTTCGGTTTCGTGCGTGGCTTTTTCGCCAAATGAACAAGAATGCTACTCGATGCTCCTCGCCGAAGGAAACATGCACACGTCCGAACGATGCCAAGCCCTCCCCTGAGAGCGCCCTTAAGAACCCCCTGGCCGACGGCCTTCGAGCGACGCCGCCGCCGCCGCCCTCGGCGACCTAGACCGGCCGGCTCGGGGCGCTCGAGCGGCGCGCGCAGGGAGCGCGCCGCCCCTCCTCCTCCTCCTCCTCCTCCTCCTCCTCCTCCTTCTCCTCCTCCTCCTCCTCCTCCTCCTCCTCCTCCTGCTCCTCTTCCTCCCTCCTCCTCCTCCTCCTCCTCCTCCTCTCCTCTCCTCCTCCTCTCCTCCTCTGCTTTCCTCCTCCCATCCTCCTCCTCTCCTCCGCCACCTCCGCCTCCTCTCTCTTCTCTCCCTCCCATGCTCTCCTCCTCCTCCTCCCTCCTCCTCCTCCTCCTCTCCTCCTCCTCCTCCCCCCCGCCTCCTGCTCCTCCTTCAGCTCATCCTGCTTCGCTCTCCTCCTCCTCCTCCCCCCTCCTCCTCTTCCCCTTTTTTTCCTCCTCCTCCTCCTCCTCCTCCTCCTCCTCCTCCTCCTCCTCCTCCCTCCTCCTCCTCCTCCTCCTCCTCCTCCTCCTCCCCCCCCCCCGCCCCGCGGGCGCGCGCCTGGGCCGACTGCAGGAAGGCGCCGGCCATTCCTGGGGACCGCGCGCGGGCGCGGGAGCCTCCGGGGGTGCAGCGGGGGGGCCCGACCACAAGAAACCCTCCACGAGGAACCCTCGGGTGTTTCTAGAAGTGCCCCTGACCCAAGGTGCCCCTAGCTTGTGCCTCAATTGTGGAGCCCCTGGGGCCCTCTGGGCCTCGTGAGGGGGGGTGCTCTGGAGGCCGCCTGGGCCACCCCGAGAATCCTGGGGGTACCTTGGGCCAGGGGCACTTCTAGCAACACCCGAAACCCACCTTCTGAGACCCCAGGACGTCCGCCGACTGTGGGTGTGGGAGCGCCCCGCTCTCCACAGCAGAACCATCAAAACCCCAAGGAACCCCGGGGCCCCCCTCTGGGAGTCAGGGCGGGTGTCTCTTGGCATGGGCCCCTTCGGGCCCACAAGGGGCTCGCAGGGGGGCAGCGAGGCACGGGACGCCCATGGACATGCTGCTTGCAGTGCGAGCGCGGCCGCAGGAAGCCCGCGCAAGAAGCCCAGCCCCGAGGCCCGCAGTCGCGACGTGCACGCAGGGGGGGGGCCCAGAGCACCCTGAACGCAGCGGCTCCTTCAACGGCCACGGGAAGCCACCGCGCAGCGCGCGGAGCGAGGATACTCAGGGTACCCTGACGAGATGCACTCAGTTTATTGATGCGCGTCCCCACTGTACTACCTACTACAGTCGACCCGCATGGTAAGGACGGGCAACCTTCCCAAGGGTATCCTTGCATCCTCCTCCTCGGTCCACCCTTTGCCACTTCCGTCGGCCGCGCCCCGCTCGAAGAAGCTTCGAGATGGGCGTCCAGGGCACCTGCATCCTCATCGTGCCTCCTGATGATACGGGTCGACTGTATATGTCCTCCTTGAGGGCACGCATTGTCGTCAATCTGAGTGAACCCATCTTGTAGTCAAATCGTGGAGGCATTGAGTTGAGTGAGTCAAATATTGTTGTCAAATCTCTGAGTGAGTTGAACCCATGTTGAGTGAATGAACCCATCTTCGTCTTCCTTGGAGGCACGCATATATGTCGAGCACTGAGTGCACCCATCTTGTAGTCGATCGTGCCCCGAGCGGTGTGGCCAGAGAGCGCCCGCCACGAAGCACGTACCATCAGATTTCTCGGTATGCGCGCGTCGCCCCCCGGGAGGCGACGCGCCCATAGCCTTATGGCATGTTTGAAAGGGGCCCTGGGACACACAAATAAACAGACACGACAAAAAACAGGATCCCCCATAGTTTCATATAGTTCCCATGGTTTTTGTCTCCTCCCCCGCTTCCCAGATTCTCCCATACTTGCTGGGGAATCGACGATCAATTGTGTCTGTGGTGTTTCCCTCCTGAGTGTTGGGGTGACGCCGACTCGGGAACGCGCTTGCACGGACGGGGGACAGAAAGACATGCTATGGTACTCGCCATCGCTCGGACGTCCATTTTCCCGCTGCGTGGTTCGGCTTTGTGCGCTTCTCTTTTTTTGCGCGCGACGATCCCACACTGAAGGAGCCCTGGGACACAGACATAAATAGACGCAAATAGCAGGATTCCCAATATTTTCCAATATTTTCTATGTTTTTTGTCTTCCCCCCCAGTTCCCACATTTTCCCATATTTTCTGGGGGATCGACGATTCAGGGTGTCTGTGTTTTTTCCCTCCTGACAAATGCTCCTCGATTGCCCTTGCCGAACAGAAAAACAAAAAACAAAAAACGTCCGAGCTATGCCAAGGGCACTATGCACCGTCTGGCCGTGGCGACGATGGTCCCCCTCCGAAGCGCACACCGTCTTGTTGGACGGCAACGCTCGCGGTCGCAAGCGCGTCTGTATCGGGAGCGGCCAAGAGGGGGGCGTCCGAGAGGGGGGGGTGCAAATCATGACCGGCGGCATGTGCGCGGCCCAGCGGGGGGGCCAGGGACGTACTGAAATAAGAAGAGGCGCCATGAAATCTGGGGAAAGATCGTGGCCCACGCCATGCTATTCCCCCCCCTGGTCATCACCTCCCTCTTGACCGCCCCCGACTGTCGAGCCGGCGGGGCGCGCCGGGCTCCAGGCACAGCCGCCACACCCCCCGCGGGAGCGGGGGCTGTGGCGGGGCCGCCCCTCGAGGGGCCGGAGGGGCGCGCGCAGCAGCCCGAGAGGCCGTGCGGCGCGCCGTGCCCCGCGGGGCCCGCAGGCACAGACTGCGCCGGCCCTGGAGGAGGAGGAGGAGGAGGGGGAGGAGGCGGGGGAGGAGGGGGAGGAGGAGGGGGAGGAGGAGGAGGGGGAGGAGGAGGAGGAGGAGGAGGGGGAGGAGGGGGAGGAGGAGGCGGTGGGACAGGGACGGTACCCCATCGCGCGGCACGCCGTGAGCGAGCGGCCCGTGGGCAGAGAGCCGGCGCGTTGCCGAGGAACTGCTGCAAAAGGGCCGTCGCCGACGGAACTGGCAGTCCCGAGGGAGGCGGTGCCTTGCGTGGGGCCTCTCCAGAGGGAAGTGAAGGGGCCCCAGGACACATAAAAAAATACACTCAAGTGAAAAGTATTACCCATATTTTCCTATACTTTCTGGGTTTCTGTCTTCCCCCCACTTCCCATATTTTCCAATAGTTTCCTGGGAATCGACGATTAATTGTGTCTGTGTGTTTTTTCTCCTCTTGATTGCCTCAGTGGGAGCCCGCCCCGAAGGCCATCGAGCCCCTGACAGGAAACCGAAGCCACACGCGAGCGCCGGGGGCCTCGCCCCGCCGGACCCCACGGCCCCACCGATACAAGTTGTCCGGGCGGTCCTCCGACAGTCAGCTCATGCAGTCGTCTCTTCTTCTCTCCTCCCTGAAGCTTGGCCTGGACTCCCACGAAGCGCCCTCCGCCTCCTCCCCCTTGCTCTCGACCTGCCGATCCTCGTCGACGGAACTGGCAGTCCGGAGGGGGTCGGGCCTGGCGTGGGGCCTCTCCAGAGGGAGGGCTTGCCTCAGTGGCAGCCCGCCCCAAAAGCAGTCTCGGCGGTGGACAAACCTCCCTTTCGTAAACCTCCCCTTTGTGAGAACGGCCTAGGACCGAAACCGACGGACCTGGACCAGCAAAAACGACGGCCGCGACGCCCTCTCGCGAACCGAAAACGGCCAGTTCCTGGATCGACGTGTCAGGGTAGGAGGTCTCTCCACCTCCGATTGTCGCGGGACCCCCTTTTGGGTCAACCCGATGCACGTGCGGGCGCTCGCCCACGCCAAGAGGAGGAGGAAGCGGAGGAGGAGGAGGAGGAGGAGGAGGAGGAGGAGGAGGAGGAGGAGGAGGTAGGAGGAGGAGGAGGGGGCGAGGAGGAGGAGGAGGAGACGGAGGAGGAGGAGGAGGAGGAGGAGGAGAAAAGGATGAGTAGAAGGAGCAGGAGGAGGGGAAGCAGGAGGATGAGGAGGAGCCGGAGGAGGAGGAGGAAGAGGCGGAGGAGATGGCTCTCCAAGCCCGCACGAGGCCCGCCGGGACCGCTCCCAGGGCCTCGGCCCACGGCCCAAAAGATCAGAGCCCCTGCCAACCACGCTCTTCGGGGCCTCCCACATGGGATCCGACTGGATAGGGTCGGAAGATCGCGCCGCATCGCACAAGCATCGCCGATGCACCGGCGACGCACCAGCGACGTCGGCGGTGCGCCATCGCAGCCGGCGTGGAGAACATCAGGCTCCGCATCGAGCCGCACCAGCGACGTCGGGCGATGCAGCGCGATCACCCGACCCTATCTGCTCGGACCTCATTTGGGAGGCCTGGAGCTCTGGGCCTCTGGGAAGGTCGGACCCGCGGGGGCTGCACGGTTGAATAGCCGCGGCTCGCGAAGAGGGCGACGAGGACGAGGACGAGGACGAGGA